CAAATCAGCATCTGCGCACAAGGTTTGAGCTTTTCTTCAATTTATGATAGAAAATAACAATGCATGAATGTTTGCTGGAAATAGTGTGTTTTATGTCCCAACCCTAGAGAGGCTGTGTCGATAAAAATATTCCCAAAATATGTTTTTTGTCAATGGGTGCCCAAACTTTCACATACAACTGTAAGTTAAAGCCACTATGTGTTTGTGGAAAAATGAGACAATACCGGTGTTTAGCTTTCTGCTCATTCATCTCAGTTTCCCTCTTTGTGATTTCTAACACATAGTGGCTTCAAGTGGGACATAAGACTTGATTTGAACTTGTCTGCTGTGAGACTTGGCTTACATACTTAAGTATGCAGGTCCCTAACAAGTAGACTTGAGACCTGAGAGTAAATTGTCGTTCAGTACTGATCCAGTAAAATGCCTCAGCATAAGACAACACCTAGCAGGTCTTGTATAGGTGTGCGGCATATCTTGCAAGATTAATATTTAAAGGGGAACTTCGGCAGATTTTTACCCTAGTCTTGATCACTATAGGTCCCCGAGTACTGTCGATAGGAAAAACAACAACCAAAACCGGTGCTAGCAAACTGGAGATCCTGCAGCTAATGGCCAGAGCTCCCAGTTAGTTATAATACACTTCTTGGGGGCATATCCTAAAGAGTGCCTTTTGCTCCTCTTAACAGACACAAAATGCAGTTAAAATGTCTGTGCAACATGCTCAGGGCCCTTACGTGACAACAGCATGCCTTTTCAACTCATACGTTGTGCAGAAACTGTACAAAACAGTACTGTCGCCTACCTGTTTTTCCACCGCTCGCTTCACCGAAAGCCCAGAATAATCGATCAAGGAGATAATGCCTTAAAAAATGTCCATGGCTGGGGTAGGGTATAACTAGGGTATAATGCTATAACCTGGAGTGGGGCTGAATATTAATATTCTAATATTATTTTCTATTATGTTAATTACTGTACTAAACCTTGATGGGATCCACAATTCTGATACAACCAATACTACTTTATTGTTGATTACATCTGCTTTGTTTACTGCTATTGTGGTTGTTATTGTATTGATATTGATATTGATATTAGTATTGAAATTGGCTTTGGCATTCCTAATGGTATTGGTATGGTACTTGATTATTTAGAATCAATACAGTCAAGACAAAGACAGGATTTCCAAAATAAAAATATGTTTTGACATGTGCTATAAAAGATGCTTTTGCCCAAGTTTTGCAAGCAAATTACTCAATAACTAAGCACAGGCTTGTAGTTTAATTGTACATATATATGTGTACATGCATGCCTCGCAAAAACAATTACACCTGCAACATTTATTTGGCATTTTGTCAATTTCATACAAAAAAATCTGTTGTGGCGGTGGTTTGCATCCCTTGAGACGTGACAGGCTCAGGCTCATGAAAGAGAATTATGATCTGTGGTGTTGGGGTGGTGGAGGATGGGTATCTGTCTGGATTATATTTATAACTTTAGCTGTTTAAGCAAATATTAGATACACTAACTGATGTCTTACCACATCATAAAGATTATGGCCTACTCTGCGATTTGATTTGTTACATAATTTGTTACTGGATGTGCTTTCATCTGCTTTATATATACAGTTAGCATCCTAAGGGTTAAAAAAGTGCATGACATCATGTGCATCAAGTACGGGAAACTCTCCTGATCACGGAAGCTATTTTTCCAGCTTGCCGAACAGGTCTCCCTAACTGCCTCTGGTTTCACTTTAAATGGCACACTAGTAAAGTAAACACATACAACTTTTGTAAAAAAAAATTAAAAATAAAAATAAAAATCTATTCATAATCAGTTTTATCAATCAAACCTAAATCAAAATCTATCTAGTTGTTTGTACCTGCACAGGAGCAAACATGCAAAAGGTAAACAAAACTGTGATATGTGCATACAAGAAGAGTGGCAATAACGCACAGTGCATATACTGCAAGTGTTTGAATGTGTAGCTGTGTTTATGTTATGGCAGGTGTGTGTGAGTGTGTGTGTGTGTGTGAGAGAGAGAGAGAGGTACACAAAGACTGCAATACTCCAGGTGGTCAGCCTGGCACACTGGGGGAAATCACCAGCACAATTTGCTCAGCTGCTGCTCTGTTTCAGTCACCCTTCTGATAGTTTTAGACATAAGCATGTATGATTGGACACATGCACAAGTACATATGCACATCTGTACACATTTTTATAGGTACAGTCCAGACTCATTGCTGATACTTGACCCTCCATGACTCTGAATTGTTTCTTTGTGTATTCTGATGGGTTTACAGTGTTGGGATCAGTGGTAATAAGTCATTGTGATGAATTTCTACACTAAACCTCGACATGTTGTAAAGTTATTGATGCCATTCCTGTGAGCATAGTTTTATCATGTTAAGATGATAGCCCAGGAATAAAACTCAGGGTGTAAATATCCGCCTCCCATTACATACGCATCATATATCATCAGCCCAAGGAGGTCACAGGCTACTGGCACCACATTTGGATTTATTATGAGACTGCTTATCAGTCCATAAATACCTGTGTAAATGCCATTTTTAACTATATTCACAGAGGTTTTGTTTATTTCTTGAGGTTAAATGTCTGTCAGTATTTAATTCAATTCAATTCAATTCAATTTTATTTGTATAGCGCCAATTCATAACAGAAGTTATCTCAGGACACTTTTCAAATAGAGCAGGTCTAGACCGAACTCTTTATAACATTATTTACAGAGACCCAACAGTACCACCATGAGCAAGCACCTGGTGACAAGGGCAAGGAAAAACTGCCTGTTAAATGCTTCATCCCAGCATGCATTGCAGAGAAACACCTTAAACAGGTCACATGTCCATCAGAGGGTTAGCACAGTCTGCACTCTAATCTGGAGGAAATGGTTGAAATAAGATTTGCGGTTGTAAAAGCTTCGCCTCTGGGCTTTGATTCCGATTCAATAACAATTTCTTGATTGAATCACTATCCTTACTTGGGCATGGAGGTCTCAAAATTGGTTTACTGTCATATTTAACTCCAAACCCCAGACATATAAAGTCTCTGTTTATACAGCAGGCTGTTTGAGATCAGGTGGACAAGTTAAATTTCTGCTTTAGTCTGTGTGTCTCAAACCAAGAAAGGTTTGGGGAAATCCCTTAGCTACACACACCCTGTGAAAAAACAAGTATGTAGCTATGCCAGCACTATACTGGAATCTACGTCTTCAATAATATCACACGTAAGGGCAACAAAAAGGAACACGCTCACTTGCAACACACAATAAAGCATATATTGAAAGTGAACTATGAATGACATTGTGTGTTCCTAATGTGGGATGTGATGCAATACCTGTGGCTCTTTGCTTCCACATAATGGCTTATAGAACAATGTCATTTTTATGTAGTAGCTTTATAGTTAATTAATGTCCACAGAATTGAGCCTGCGAAAGTTTTTAAGGGAGAGGACTTGCTGTATATGTCTTTTACTCACTAACTGGTCTGTTGTTCTAGAAATGTAGTGGATTATCTATATTAATGTGGATATATGGCCATGGCGTGCCAAGCGAAGCTGATGATGAATAAGCCTGCTATAACAACTGTAGTTCTAGTCAGAAAAAAAATACTTTACCGCTCATCGATGCAGTAGATTTAAGGTTATTTCAACCTTCCCCCCCCCCCCTTAGAAAACGTTTCAGAAATGATTTATAACATACTATAATGCAGATATCAGGGTTAACAACTTTAACCCTCCTGTGAAGCATTCATGACTGGATGCTGTTATACAAACAGATAATGAATGGTCTTAATTAACAATTTCCTATAATACAGTTATAATTGTAAAATATGTTTTAATGGGGGATGTTTTAATACTGTACATTAGCAAACACTTATGCTTATACTTACTTATACTTTAAATGTCCTTATGTCTCTTTATAACTACATTATAATGTCTTATAAACTATTTATTATATGTTTATATTGTGCTTACAGATGATAAATAAACATAAACACATTTCTCACTAAGTCTTTTTTTCAGTTCTTGCACACCAACATTTTATCAATACATTGTAAAAAAGGTTGAGAATATTGTCTCTGGCTACTCTAATAAACATTTCCCATGTATGGAAAAAGGTTTGTGAACTGTACCAAATGGGTAAATGAGGTGTACATTACAGTGGATTGTGGGATGCATGAAAATATGTGAGCGTATCCATATTTCGTCAAAATATGTAGGTAGTAAAACACATTTCTCCCATAATCTCTGTCTTCCAAGCTGCAGAGATTCAATAATCGCATTGTTCAGTCTTTCTTCAAAAGTGTGTCATGTTTGATTCCACCAGGATGTCATAATCTTATCCATGGCACCTCTGCTTTGGCAAATAAAATGATAAGAAACCACAAATGCAGTTTTGATTCCATGAGATTCCATCCATCCTTCACAAGCTGAAGGCACCCGCTGAAAAAGCTGTTGTATTAAATACAAGCTATTATATTGAATACAAGCTGTTATATATTGAATACAAGCTGTTATATATTGAATGCAAGCTGTTTTATTAAGGACAAACTATCTGACAAGAAAGACAACCTTCATTTTGTAAACCACTCCCACTCAGGGGCTTGGCCAAAAGAGTGTAAAGACTTAAAAGAGAGGTGACATTCAGGTGGGGCATCATTCAGGTGAGCGTTCATATTCTCATGTCTCCACCCTCCAGTGCCTGAGGATACTACTACACTGAACAAGAAAACAGGAGTACATCTCTGACTTAACAAGGTACAGATATCGTCTTTGTTGTGCTCATTCATTTGGCCATGATTCGGTCTGTCTGTCTTTTGCTGTCATATGACTGTCTGTCAGTCTCTGATAAGTTAGTGTGACAGCTTCTTTCACTTCTCTGTTTGTGTTGTGAGATTTGAGCTTTGATTGTGGTGTCTCACAAGGGTGTTTTTCTCTTTCCAGATTGTCCTTTAAGTATGTTGGCAGAAATGGAGACGGTGAGTCTGATATTATTTTATTTTAATTACTGTCTCTGTGTGTGTTTTTATTTTTTAATCAGCCCATGAATGACAAAGAAAGGTGGGTTTTTTTATACAACTGGATGTTTCAGTAATAGTGTGCTCTAAAATATTATTTTGTTAACTGTAATTGACGTGTGTTGGCTTAGGGTAGAGGGTTATTTGTATGAATGTCAGCTAAGCCACACATCACTGTTACCTCAATGGTACCTGTGCTGGTGAAGGCACAAACACTTGCATAAATTTGCCAGTCAAACTAAAATACACATGATCACACCTTATTTTCAAGACAAACACAATACGCAGCTCAGATCAGGTTATATATTATACAGTTCACTACTATGAATGCCATTAGTGTGTTTAATTTTGCAAATCAATGCTATATATGGGGAGAAATAATCATATTACAAGAATGATCACTGCTGTTTAATATCATGTAGAAAATGAATGATGCATAGACTGTTCACAGCTCATTTTAAATGGATGAATGAGTATATCCCTGTGCAAACATTTTCACTGTATGATGCACCAGAACACAATAGTGCACAACAAAACAATGAGGGGTTCTCATGAAAAAAAACAGCAGGTGTGCAGTCTGATAATAACAACACCTCAGGCTATGACTGACACAAGATAAATGCCACCCATCATGCAAAGTGTATTCTGTCCATCAGCATCACACAAACAAACTCGCTCAGGTGTGAGCCAGATCGTGTATGATTTCTGAAAGCCTCCTCTTGCTCTCTGTCTGTCAGATGGCTTATGTGACTGAGATCAGGCTGAGTGGAGATAGGGGGGCCTGGAACGGAGTGGCTCCCTCCTCCTGCCCCGAGGTGGACCTGGAGGTCATTGAGGAGTACCTGCAGGAGCACTCACTGGAGGTCCAGCCTGCGCACACACCTTCATCTCCTCCCACCGCCTTGGGGCAACAAACGCACGCACATCCCCATCAGGGCACCAAGATCATAGGTTAGTGTGTCGGTGGCGGTGATGATGATGAAATACATGAGAACGGGAGGATGTAGGTGCTTGTATATTTCTGTATCACTTATCTGACTTTGTCTTTCTTGTTTCTCCATAGTGAATAGCTTCATAGGTCAGCATCCGTATGTGTGGCAACCCCACACTCCAAACGAGGAATATGAAGATCAAGCCCTGCCTCCAGCCTGGCGTAGTCCCCATGACAACCAATGGGTGAGTTCAAGGACGTCAGTCTCTGAGTAAATGAAAGATTAATTACTTCTTCCATAGCTGAATACAACAGCACATCACTGTGTGACACATTTTGAGGCTGAACTTAAAGGGTTTTGATTCACTATTCATGATTTTTGATGAAGTTACATTTGTGAATTATTCATTTGTTTTTATATGTGTTTGCTTCAGGACCACATTCATTGCTCGTACGAGGTGCCTGCATACATCGACTCAGACTCCCAGTCCAGTAGCTCCCAATACCAGGAATACCAAGATTGTCCTTCCCCATTGTCTGACAGGGGAGGCTCCCTGCCTCTCGCCCCACTTTCAGGTATACACACACACACACACAGACACACACACACACACAGAGACATCTCCACATGAAAGGGCGTCACTTTGTGTTAAAAAGGAAAAGGGAAATACGCAGTTTTCACCATATGTGATTTAAGCAATGTAATTGGAGGATCAGTATGAGGTCAGAGTAGATAACACAGTGGAAATCAAACAATGCCAATATCACATCAAATGTAGAAGGCACCAGTGCATGTCAGTCAGCCCAGCAACAACAATTACCAATAGGCCCTAAATTATGACAAAATAGAAACAACTGAAGGAATAATTTTAATAAATAAATCATCTTACCTTTAGATGTTAAATTAAACTGCCTTGTTGTTTCGATGCTGCATGCATGCAAACTTTTGTACTAGAGAAACAGAGAGTTCATTAGTAAAGTTCATAACTCATTCTAAGCATAAGGTTTGAATATTGGTAAGTGAGAACATTAATTAAACTGGAGCAGAGATTAGATTATTTCTATTTATTTATCCGTATTAATTTAAAATTCTGCACAAATTAAATCATATATTTTACATAATTTAACATGGAAATTATGGAAAAATACAGTAGCTAGTTTCGCATTTAAAAATATTGCACTTGCCTAATTTACAGCAACCCAAACTGCACGAGAGGAAAAAGGGAGATGAGATTAGAAATTACTTTAGCAAGCAGCACTGTACTGTTTATTTTAATTAATTATCTTATTATGTACTACAAAATCCAGTAAATAACACGCAATGACCTTTATACATTTGGAAATATTTCTTCATACAAGCTATTGTTCAACACTTCTAACAAATTATGCTGTGATGGGGTCAAAATTGGCCATTTCAAAAAGTGTCCCCAGTGTAAATGACACCTATGTCCACATGTGAACCTGAGTACCAAAACTCTCAGCCATACAAAACCTAAACATAACTACACATCAAACTTCTCTATATGTACTGCAAAACAATGCACGTACACACAAATATACACGTATGAGTCATTGTCACCTCTTATTTGTATTTACATCCCCTTCCTCCTTTGCAGGAAAGAGGAAGGAGCGGTTGTTCCAGTTCCTGTTCGAGATGCTCCAGACGCCATCAATGCGGAGCTGCATCTGGTGGGTCCAGTCCTCCGCGGGGACGTTCCAGTTCTCCTCTCAAAACAAGGAGCGCCTGGCGCAACTGTGGGGCCAACGAAAGGGCAATCGCAAGACCATGACTTACCAGAAGATGGCACGGGCGCTGAGGAACTACTCCCGCACTGGCGAGATCCATAAGGTGAAGAGGAAGCTCACCTACCGGTTCGATGAGAAGACATTGAGAGGTCTACAAGGAGACTCTAACACAGTGTAGGAAGCATGATGGAGAGTGTATATGAACGTAGAAATAGAATTAGCACAATGGATATTCAGAGAGAACCACTGTGGTTGTCCCATTAATGTCCTTTCTGCTGATTCTACTTCTATAGTATGTAGAAACAAATCAATACTGAGTATTTGAAAAGCCAGAAGATGACACACTGTAGGTCAGAGCTTTCGGTAGATACAGAAAGCTCTCTGGAGATGGTATAAGGGCCGAACATGATGATGATGTTGATAGTGATGCGAGGAAGCAAACTCACTGGATAGGCGTGGGATGTGTGAAAAGTCAGCTGGCGTTAAAGATTATGTAAATCTAAAAGGTTATAACATATCTACTTTATAAGTAGAACTTAAATCATTCTTAAAATAAGTTTTTTTTATTTAAAGGTTTTCAGTTTTTTTGTGATTCTGTATTGCAGGTATTCAGCACATATAAGAACATGTGATAGACTTCGTAACAAAACTAGGTTGTGTAAACATGATCTGTTTGTGTTCTTTTTTTAAGACGAATAAATAAATCTGAAGATATTTTCACAATCCCTAATAGATTTTGTATTTTTTCTATCTATCTTCTATCTATCTATCTATCTATCTATCTATCTATCTATCTATCTTTGTTAACAAAGACACATGTAGTTGTATTAGCAAAGCAAACACAGATGTGCTTATAAACTGAAGCAAACACACTCATAGACACACACTAACACACACCCATAGCCAAAACTGTATGCAAAGTAAGCATGCATTGAAAAACCGCCATTAAAAACAGACCTGTTAATCAGTAACATACATATAATCTACATAGTCCCTTCACATACGACACACAGAGTAGCAGGACACCCACACACTGAACACATTCCTAGAATGAAGTTGCCAGAGTAAGACAATTTACCTTTCATAGTCAAATGATGGGGCTACACACACGTGTGCTGAAAACCAAAAGACACATGAGCAAATTACATAATATCCAACACACATGGACTGCATTTCCTTACTATGCAGGACAGCTTATACTTCCAAATGTTTTGTTCTGGTATGACATTTGATGAGTGGTGGAAAGTAACTACATACATTTAATCTACTACTGTACTTCAGGTATTATTTTGAGGTACTTGTACTATGCTTGAGTATTTCCATTTTTAAATATTGTACTTTTAACTCCACTACATGTATTCGACAGCTTTATTTCTTAGATTCTTTGTACATTTTACATATAAAACATATGATCAACTTATAAAATGTGATGCATTATGAGATATCAAACTACCCAACAGCATATAAAGTAGTTCAGGACAGTGCAGTTACAACATTATAATGGAACTTTAATGGAATAAATGCATTAGTAATATAATACATATCAAAATATGACACTGATTTGACACATTGGGGACATTTTGCGATTTTGATAGTTAAGGTACACGCTTTACTTTCATTTATCTTTAATTTAGTATTTGTGTAAAGACTTGTGAAAATGTGACATGGCTCATTCAGTAGTCCTCTCCCCTAGTGAGGCACATTCATCAGTGTGAACGTGATTTTTTTTTTACTCACTGATGAGATACAGATGGCATCTCTACGGAGTTCACGCCTGTTGTTGTGTGTGCACATGGAAGCGCATGCATGTTTGCATATAAAAAGCATCTGTTCAATGCTTTTCTGGTCATTTGAAGCTGAAAAGCAGGAACACGCGATCTGAACAGCAAACACAGGATTATGTTGGACTTAACTCGGCTGTGGAATTCCTCCCACCTGTCCACAGCCTTCGCGGAAACCTGCTCTATCAAACCTCATAGATTCTTCCCTGGTCTCCATCTTCAGTGATGGCTGAATGGAGTTGGGTGGCCTACACAGTCCTAGAAGTGCTGATTGCTGTGGCCTGTTGCCTTGGCAATGTGTTGGTGGTGTGTGCGGTGTGCATTGGCATCCGGGATTCCCTGCGGGAGCCAACCTTCTGCTTCCTCGTTTCCCTGGCAGTGGCTGACTTCCTAGTGGGTGTGGCGGCTGTGCCCCTGGCTGTACTATTAGATGGTTGGGTGAGTGTGACCCCTGACTTATGCCTACTTCTCAGCTGTGTCGTGCTGGTGCTGACTCAAGCCTCTGTGCTGTCACTGCTCGCTATTGCCGTGGACAGATACCTCCGGTTACACATACCACTCAGGTGAGGTTTGCACTCTGAAAAAATGGTTTGCAGGTAGAAAAGCTTTATGGATAACATGTTACATGTTGATTCCTCTCTCTCTCCTTTCCTTCCTTCTTTCTGTTTTAACCCTCGCCCTCAGATACAAAGCCCTGGCCACACAGAGGCGTTCATGGATGGCCGTGTGTGTGTGTTGGACACTCGCCTGTCTACTGGGGTTCACTCCTCTGTTTGGCTGGCGCAACTACTCCCCTCTAGCATCTGATTCCACCAATACATCTTCCCCTTCCTTCATCCCTCCACCCTGCACCTTCCTCTCAGTTATCTCCCTCCCCTTCATGGTCTACTTCAACTTTCTGGGATGTGTCATAGCACCCCTGCTGGTCATGACCGTCCTCTACACTCGAATCTTCTGGAGCCTGCAGGGCCGTCTGAAGGAGAGCTGTCCCCAAGCCCAGGCCTCTCTGCTCAGGGAGAAGAGGCTGGCCTGCTCACTGGCTCTGGTTCTCATTTTGTTTGCCGTCTGCTGGATTCCTCTGCACCTGATGAACTGTTTGCTGCTGTATCATGGTCCTAAAGCTGTCACAGAGGGGACGCTCTATACAGGCAGGTAGCTTTTCTAGTAATAACACAGTCTACAGTTGGTTGTTTTTAATTTTCATGTTGAGAGATTTGTTTGCAGTTCTCCCAGAGGCTTTAAATGTTTGGTTTTTTCCACATCATATATTGACACATCACATTACTTACCAGCAGTTACAGTGAAATCTGACAGTGACAAACCCATTTTTCAGGTATTCTCCTGTCTCATGCCAACTCAGCAGTCAACCCTGTGGTCTACGCTTATCGCTTCCCAAAGATCCAACAGGCCTACAGTCAAATATGGAGGCGCTTCGTCATGAACATAAACTGTTTCCATGGGGACAAGCAAGTTTGCCGATCAAGAACAGGCAGCCGAGTCCATCACACAGAGACGTGTGGATCAGGAGGGAAGACCACGCCATAACAAAGGACCACAGGGTCATTTTAAGTTCAACATGTTTGAGGTTTGAGTTCATGGGACTTTGTGTTTAAACCAATCAAACAATAAAAATCACTGTGTCCAACAATCATTTAAGGTTTTATTACAGATAACCAATGGAAAAAATACAGCCAGCCATTGAGGGTTTGAGTGAAATCCTTCATGTGAAACACTTGTAGTTTTATTGAATGAAAGCCTGCATATTCTTTGTCCGCCATGTCATTCGGTCGCCTACCCCTTGTCTGCAAACTTTATTTAAGTCAAAGCTATCTCATGAGTCTCCACTAGAGGGGGCTCTAGACTAACAAACTTAACAGCTGCTGTTGTACACAAACCATGACACCATCAGATCTGCAGTAGGTGAGGAACAAACAATTTCAAGATCTCTTTCACTGATTTTTGGACAACTGATTTGAGGCAAGTATGACTTTATTGAGATGTACATATTTTTGAGTTACTCATCTGACAGCTTGAATCAAGGCATCGCTAACCTTTAGCAGCACACATAGATACTCGCTCATTTCTTTCCTGAGATCTGAGAATAAATTAGCCATGTGAGTGTGTCGAACATTCATGAGTGTTCAGTGAGCTCCTCAGGGAAGGCAATAGACTGTATAGTTATCACCTGAGCAGGGTGCAATCCCACCCACCAAACTATACAACCTACTACCTCACCCTGACAGAGTCCAAATCAAACACACCACACGCTCACGTCCTGTTAGGGAACATGACCTATTTCACCTGCTCTAGCAAAAAGAACAATGCTTGTCACAGTGCATTATGTTGATTGCTGCAAGCGTATGTTTTGATTAGACAGCATGATTGCCCATCTGGAGATGACAGTCGGCGAGTGGCTGACTCAGCTGTCTCCTTGGGAAAGACAGTAGATTGTATAGTTATCTCAAAAAGAGGTTACACAACCCCACAACTATTCAATCTACTACCTCAGCCCCAAGGACAGCATCCACGTTGCTTCAGCATCAAAGATCCACAAAGGTAACTCTCCTGCAATGGTACAGAAAAAAGAGACAGAGAGGGTTATCTTAACTAACCATTCTTCTATGTAAAGTACATGCAAGGTAAAACTGGGTAGGACTGCCACCGGTGAAGTGTAAATTTACGTTGTATTTTAGGCCGGTTCAGATTCAGTCCCTGCACAAAGGAGTGTGATCGTATTTTCAGTTTTATCTCTGTGTCTGATTCTTTGTTTTTGTTCCTGGAAATGGTTCAAAATCACAACTTATGGCTGAAAACTGCTAGTGCTTCATGACCACAAGTCTTCAACTGCCAAGAAACGTTTATCACTTGTTAACAAAAGAAGACCCTGTGAGATTTTACATATAGCCAAATCCTTACCGATTAACCAAGCTAACCAAGCTTTTTTTTTTTTTATGCGGAGCTGAATGTCTTTAAGAAATCTGTTCCATTAAAATAAATCAAAGACAAATAATTTAACGGTAAGCAGACATCGGAAAGTGAGAGCACTAATGTGTGAAAGCCCAACAAACAACTCACTGGCTTCCTGAGACTCTGGCATGTGATCGAAAGAGGGAGAAAAAAAAGAGCTGCTCGACTCTGTGCCAGGAATTCGTTTCCGTTTTTGCCAAAAACTGAGCTCATTCCAGTGGGCTATCCTTGTGTAGGCTGGCTGCTGCTTCTCAGACGGAGGTACACACACAGATGCCTGCAAATATGGCTTCCACCAGCTGCCTCTGATTGAATACAAGGCTGGGATTCTGCCCCCCAAAACACAACAAGGAAACACAAAATGGCGTCTCACACATCGGCCATTTTAGGTCTGCTTAAAAACACTATAAGGTCTACCTTTCAGGTTCGTTTTCCGAGCCTGCTGTCCCACGATTAAGAAAGAGCGACTGCTCAATCGAGAGTGATGGAGAGTCAATCTTGTGCCAAGCACTGAGACGAAGCCAACAGACGACACACTGACTATCACGGGTACAAAGTAAGAGAGCAGCTCAAACAAAACTTATCAGTCAACTTTCCAGTTGACTGGTAAGTGAGAGAAAACTTATCACATACAGCATCTCCATCTTCTGGTGAATTTACTCACACCATAAACAGTTCGGCTTTGGCACTCGTACTGAAAAAGCAGACTGCGTTTTTGGTTTCTTAAACTTTTCTTAATTTCACTAAGACAGACCTTGCTCATCCTGAGGCGGCTAACTGCTAAACTCTTCTGGGATAAAGGTGAGGATGGGCCAGCAGGTTAACATGGCAGCGACTGAAGGGTTAATGAGTGCCAGACTAAATGCCAGACCTGGGCCTCAGATAGACAGAGAAGGGGTTAGGAGGTACACTGCCTGCATAAATTAGCATACAGCCACAACCCCAGACTTGGTCCAGACCAGCCCATAGTTAGCATGCAGTA